TTAAAAAGATGCTTTCACCTGTCTGCTTTCTCTGAGTGATCACCACTGGTTCTTAGCTGGTTTCCTTTAGAGACTTCTCCTAATTCCTTTAACTAGAAAGTCTGAGCAGTTACTCTTTAATAGTTTCCTATATGTTACCATGATTAACAGGTTAAAATGCATTTTGGCCATTTTAGCTGTTATATCTGTACTGCATTACCAGTTGCAAGCAGGTTTACCCAGTAAAAAATGACAGCTGGGAGACTCAAGATTGGAATATTTGAGTATTGCTGCAATGTTCCCAAAAAGACAACCTGAATAATTTAAATATAAATACTGGTGTTCTGGAGATGTCATGCTGTAAGGTGTGGTGCTCCTCTTTACAAGGCAGCAGCATTAAACCTTCTCTCCTGTTCTTCATTTATAAATGTATTTCAAATTACCAGACTTTTACTTGGATACATTACATATGTTGTTAAAAAATCTGCTATGGCTGAACTACAGTTGAACCATGGAGTAGACCTTGACTACAGAGTTGAGCTTTACAATTTGAACATAATTATTCTAATAAAAAGTATTCTAATGATTCATAAATACAAATGTTACCAATCCAAGCAAATTAATACTCCTCCATAAGAATATATTTTAAAAAGGTATTTACTGCATTAACAAGTTAACAAGGTTAACTTATTTTTTAATGTTTGAGGGTGATTTGAAATTAAGATCTTTTTAGGATAAGCATTGCAAATCACAAAAACAGCCAGATACTGTATCAGAAACCTGTTTTCATCCCTAAAGTAATTTGACAGGTGAAGTGCCTTTGTTTCTACCATAGCCCTTGCCTTAGTTCAGATGGAGGATGTGTAAAATAAAGGAGCACACGAGCTGAGGGAGCAGTAACCCAGAACTGTCACTGCTCAGGTGAGGGTGGAACCTCACTCCTGCCTAGCAGTGTGGTGTGAAAGTCCAGGGGTCTGCTCAGGCTGCAGGGCTGTGTCTGTAGGATAGAGCAGGAGCCCCTGCCCCTGGTAGGTGCTCCCACAGGACCAGTGTGCTGCAGTGCCATTTGATTAAAGGATTCCTTGTCGTTTCCCCTGTTGATTTTTCTGCTTCCTCAACTCCTGCCCTTCCGATTCCTCTGGCAGCTGCTCCACAGAGAGCACATGGGGTTTGACAACTGATTACTCAAACCCTCAGCTGGAGATAAACATCCTTTTGAGAGGGAAGGCAGCTAGGAATGAAAGAGGAGTAGCACCTGAACTTAAGGAACAATTATGTGTTAAACTTATTATCACTAACCTTGTATTTTAAAAGTAGAAGCACCAGATGTTAATGAATAAAAGCAGTGGAAAAGCTGTTGCTGTTGACATGACAGCAGGGTTACATTTGTGACCCCTTGTTTTGTGCTGAGGGGCTGGTGGGATGCTGTGAAGCTCAATTAATGTGGTTGTTTTTTCTGTCACTGGGGCAGGTTCTTCAGTGCACATGGATCAGCCTTGCTGCCAAGCTCTCTATGACTTTGAGCCAGAAAATGAAGGCGAGCTTGGATTTAAGGAAGGGGACATCATAACTTTGACCAATCAGATTGATGAGAATTGGTATGAGGGGATGTTAAATGGAGAGTCTGGCTTCTTCCCCATTAATTATGTTGAAGTGATAGTTCCCTTGCCTCAGTGATCGTGTCATTCGAGCTGTGAACATGATTTCATGACTGAAATGGATTCACAAATGTTCTGTCAGTGTGGCATTCTGTGAAAGCCTTGCTATTTGACTGACTTACTGACTTTTGTATGCGTCTTTTTAAAATGTATTTATTTTATATTCAAAAAAATTTCACCTCCCCTGATTTGTCAACCTGCAAAAAAACCCATACCCAGTTTTTTTGCTTTGTGCCTTGAAGATCACTGTATGAAGTGTTTACTGGTAGCTCACTGTTGCTCCAAAAATGCATTTCCTTGCTATTATTGTATGTGGGTTTTTTTTATCTTTGGCTGCAATGATTTTACTATTGAAAACCATTTTAAAAAATACTGTTAGTGAAGCTAACTGTAACCAGTTCCTAAGTTACTGATGTCCTTGAGCTGTTTTCATCTATCACACCATAATTTATTGTGAACAAGTTAATTCATCTTCTTCATTGTATGTTGACAAAAGGCAAAGTGGTTGTTGTCAATATTAAGATGATGTTGTACTAAGTACAAGTTCTCAGCATTGAAAATTGGTATAATTTACTGACCAAACTGAATAAATATTTCTGTGGGGTAAGAAAAGTGGTTGCTGCTTCTGTACTGATGGTTCTGGCACTGGTTTGAGCAGGAGGCCACTTTTGCTGAATAGATCAGCTTTCAGTGACAAAAACAATGCATGAATAATCTTGCTACTTCTCGACTGCTTGTTTAGCATTATGTCTGTTAACATCTTTTTCTAGCAGAAGGAAAAGAGAGAAGTTCCTTGGAACTAAATACAAACTGCTCCTAGTTCCATAGGGTTTGTAGAGAACTCCAGTGAGAGAAAGGGGTGAGTAGCACTGGTGCCTACTGCACACAAATGAGAACTCAATACATTTATAGTTCTTATATTTAGTTGAAAGGGATGGAAAGGAGGAGAAAGAAGAATAGGCAGTGCTGGGAAAACATGCAATAACTAAAAACATAAAAGAAAAGCCTCTAAATTAAGGAAGAAGTCTGGCATCAGAAGTACTTCTCCAAATACAGATAGAATCACTTTGGTTTTGTTTACCATCTCCTGCTTGGCTTAGTAATGTAGTAGTGACCAAAGAAAGTGAGCAGCCCTGGAGGAAGGTGTAGTCTTTTGCCAGTTGCCCATACAAGACAAATTTGAGAAGAAAGCTGGATTCTTTACAGCAAAGCTGTCTACTGCAGATTCCTCTTAAGCTCATAGCAGTTCAGGTCTAGTTCAAGTAAGTGATAAACAGGAGAGCATAATGCATTGCTGAAGGCTTCTCCTCTCTGCAGTCCCTAAAATCACCAGTTTTATTACTGCAAAGTCTTTTGAACCACTCAACAGAAATCAATGAACAGACAGACCTTTATTATTTCATCTGCAAATATTTAAATCCAAGACTGCTTTTATATACATGAAAAATATCTTTAATAGTTAAAAAAGTTTTAAGAAATAAAGATAAATACAGCAAAGTTAGAGCAGCAGCTATTTCTATTGTTTGAGATGGAACAATAATTTGGATCTGCTAAAATCCAAGTCTTAAACCAGCATCTACTCTTGATGTCTCAAAATTAGAATTCTTAAATAATACAAGAGTTTAAGTTAGCATAGGAAAACCTCACCTTAGCACCTTCATCCTCACACAAAGCAGGTCTTGAATTTGGAACCGAACACTTTGGCAAGGTAAAAGACAGTCAAAACACTACTGCAGCACTGAGAGAAATCTGCAGGCTCAGCTGCTCCCCTGCCCTCCTGCTCTCAGGTGCAAGTTCACTTCCTGTGGCTCAGAGCCCTTCCTTTCCCCCAGGGCCAGCAGGGGAGCAGTTTGGAGGAGGGACAGAGTGACAGCAGTGCCCTGGGGCTGACTGTCCCCTCCTGAGGGTGACAGGACAGCATTCCACGGAGCACAGAGCTACCAGAGTGACAGGGAGCTGCACAGTGGCCCATAACCAGTTTTCCCCAGCTGTCCCATAGACACACAGCTGCAGCCTGCATGGAGATTTAGCACATAAGGGCTCCAAGAGCAGTGAGTTTGATGTGCTTTTCACTCTAGTTGGGGCTTTCTAGCTTTGAGTTTTGACTTAGCATATGTTTCTCTCCAGCCCCTTAGACAGCTGTTGGGACCAATCAAACAGTGCCAGCAGCACAGGACACAGTACCTGCTCTGTCAGAATGAGATGCTTTTTCACATTTTCAGGATACATTTGTCTAAGTTAAGGCAGGCACAGCTCTGCTGTGATACACTGTACCTAGGAATATACAAAACTGAAACAGGGACTTCCAGGTGCTAGACTATAGAAACAGTAACATTTAATAACAGGAAGGAATATTTTTGACAGCTTGCTTTTAATTCTAAAGTGTTTCACTCTAGGAAGTGACTCAGACCAGTTTTATGTATCTCTGCATCAGGATCTGAGCAGGAAACATTTCAGACCACTCATCACTCTTCAGGACAGTGTTTTACTTCAGACTTGCTCAAGGTGCAAAGGTATGATCAGTCCCATGTTTCCCACTCAGGCTGGAAAGAGAAATTACCTTTGGAGAACTCCATGTCAGAATACTGAGAAAGCTGAGGCAGCCTCATGTTCATTGTCAAGTATCCTAGGGCACGTGTTTAGAAGCTTTGTAAACTCTGTACCCTTCTGTTTCAGCAGGTCACAGAAACCAGATCCTTGTGTAAAAGTAAAAACAACTTCACATGGAGCTTGTACTCTACTGCTCTTTGTATCAGTGAATCCAAGGCCAGGGCCCAGTATCAGAAGGCAGGAGATTCCATCATGTTATGGACAATGCTTCTCACAAAGACATCAGATGGAATATGTGAGTTCCAAATTCCAGATATGACAGAAGAAGATGTGTTTTCAGATTATTGTCCACATTACATGACAGAACAGCTGGGATCATCATTTTGCTGCAGAGAGAAAACATGAAAACATTAGGCTAATTAGCATGTGTACAAACTTCAGTATTTCTTGCTGGTTACCTACTTGAGCCTCATATAGGCAGATAGGGTTTTCAGCATTTTGTAGATTTAGTTACTTATTAACAAAGCAGAGTGGATTTTCAAGAGGCAGTACATGAACTTCGCTACACAAGTCTTGAAATCCATGCAATACACGAGCCTGTGCCTTCCTAAAGGAAAGGCTGTCAGACTGCCCATCACTTCCTCTCTTCCCAAGCAGCAGAACCTAAGTGGCATGCAGATATGTGCTGCCCTGGCTAGGATGATAAAAGCAGAAGCAAAACATGGAAACACTGCCTTCCTTTAAAGCACAGCATGCATTCTTCCCATTATTTGACTGCAGGCAACAAGATAAATTCTGTTTACTAAGCAGCCATTTCAGTACTACCAAGGCAGCAGAAGCATATAGGTACTAATATCAAAAGTTTGACAGGAATTCAGCAAACAGGAATGACATTAAAATTTGATTGGAAGTATTAGAAGTGATTCTTACCATAAATGGCACACAACTGTATTGTAAAGTTGCTGATAAAACAGATTAGAAGTGTAAGGAAAAATGTTACTTTTGCTTTCCATCACTGATTATTGAACAAGTCAGATAAGTAAATTCAAAAAATGCCTTTTAAAATAAAAAGAAGCCATCCTTGAGGAGAAGCCCTACTCTGAGTGTGAAAAGAAGCTTATATCACTAAGAGCCCAAAGGGCAAAACAGCATTATAGACCTCCTCAATAGCCAATTTAACAGGGTCTCACCATCCTCCAGTGAGACTGAAAATATTACAAGAATGTGCATGCAAGTCAGGAGACTGACAAACATCCTTTAAGTCACATGGTATCGTAGTAACAGATATTTAACCAGATTTTGTTTAAAAGGAAAAAAAACCCAAAACCCAGCAGTAACTGCCTGTTTAGGTAGTTTTTTCAGAAAGACAGTACTAAGGTACTTTTAAGTTAGTTTTCCGACAGATACATTATGAAAATATCTAAGAAATGGTAGTGGGAGCTTTAATTTAGTGCAGTAAGATGTGACCCTCCTTGTAACTGTGTAGGATCAGTTTTATGAAGAGCTGCAAGAACTGAACATTTGCCAGTAGGAAGAAGAGTTTTTAGCTAAGCATCCCCTTGCTCTCAGGCTTTGGAGTTTGTACCATTGTACTGTTTCAGGTCAAGACACAAACCAACTTCAATTAAGTACAGTCTATAATTGTTTGGTTAGGACCAACTTAAAGCCCTCATATTAGTTGGTTTAGATCATTTCAACAATTAAAGATAGCTAAAAATATATCAAAGTACAGTAGGAGCATCCAAAATGCATCAGTTCAGACTTGAATTACAGTCAGTCAAAAGGCATTTGAGGGGGCTGGATATCTTGCACAGGATATTACACCATGCAAGTTGGTAGCCAAAAGTTCGTAAGTATACTGACCTTAAGTTCACACTGAAATTGTCTTAAAAGCAATTTAGGGACACTGGAATGTGAAGTCACTTCATCCCACAGAAGTAGTTAGTGTTTGCATTCTGTTCTTGGGATAACAGCTTTAATTCACAGTCAGGTAGGTAGATGATATGGACATTAGAGGTTGTATTTTCAGTGTGTCAGTAATAAGATAGCAAACAATTAATGCTACTGTTTGATCATACTCAGAGAATAAGCAGAACTTCAGTTGCATTTCTGGTGCAAAGCCATGCAAGCTACATCCTATGTGGGACAAGAGACTGCAGCACTACTGATGAAGCAAGTTTTCTATGAGGTGACAAGCATGATTCTCACCATCTCACCTGCTTAAGGATGCTCACAGGAACCACTATCATGAAACCAAACAACATTTCTTTTTTCTTCTTCTTTTGGTCTGACATTAAGAAAAACATTAAGAGTTGTGGGATATGAAGAGTACTTGAAGTATTTTCATTCAGTAAAGAAAAGAAATGGCCATTGAATGACTCTGCTGACAGCATATATTTAAACTTCAGGCAGCTTACCTGAGATGCAAACTCTGCTTCACTTCCAGTTATTTCTTCATAATCATCATCTTGCTCACTTTCTTCTTCTCTGGGTACAAGCATTATCTTCCTCTCTGCAAGTTCCTAGAATACAATTGAATTGCCACCAAGACCCCATAGGAATAAGCACAAACAAGTTTAGCATCAGGACAGTAGAAGCATTTTATTATTTCACTTACCTCACCATCATCGGTGATGAGTGTAACACCAATATTATCTCCAGTTCCCCAAGATTTCTGAGACCTCCAGACCAGATCACTAGGACCTGGGCTAACACCAGCAGCTGCACCCCAGATCTGCAACAGATTTACAGTGAGCTTCTGAAGGATCTTCTGTAGTTAGATTACAATTCAGTCTAACAATAACATATATAATTATTAAGCATTTCAATACCACAGACATCCAGTAGGAGAAACCAAAGCACTGTAAGCCCTGGCAAGTTAATTCTTTTCAGGACTACCAAGAATGGTTGGTAAAGTTTTTCTAGCTAAAGATTGTAAAACAGTGCAGAAAAGACTGTTAACAGCTTCTATCATTGTAGAGGTAGCCCTGCTTGGCCACACAGAGCATTTGAGTCACAGACATGCTCAGGGCAGCAACTTGTGTGTGCAAGAGCCTCCCACCTGGAGTCACTCACTGAGCTGTTGAACAAATGCCTCCACAGTTTGGAGTTAGCAAGTGTAGAGTTCAGCTCTTTGATCACCATCTACATGTACTTAGAGTACGATTTTAGAGCTAGTATTTCTGTTAGTACTACAAATCATGATCTCAGCATGGCTGACCTGGCATAGGCTAAAGATTTTAGCAACAGTCTGAGTCTCCACACAACTTTTATCAAGTCACAGGAGTATGGGAAAACCTAAAAAACCCCTAGAATACAATGATTCTGTTTACAATTAGAGCACACTCCAATCTGGGATGATCCAAGTTCAGTCCAAGCTTTAAAGGAAATGTAATTAGCATTTCATATCAAGTTGCTTCAAGGATTTTCCCCCTATCCATCAACACATAAAATAAGAGCTTTAGTTCTTTAGAGACTTGGAGTATCTATTTTGTTTTCCATATTACAGGAATCTCTACTGACATCTAACATAAGAGCAGAGCTCTGAGGAAGTTTTACAAACCCAATACCTACTGTAACTTCCTGGCCTGCCTGAAGAGTGAACCTTGAAGGAAACTTGTAATTAACATCTGCCACACTTCCAATACGTCGTCTCAACACCCAGCCATGTAGAGATTGATCCTGTGAGACAAGAAATTTCTCAGCATTACAGACCAACACCAGATAATTCAAACACAAGGTTCTTCCCAGACTCATGAGCCAGTTTTAATCCCACTCATGTAGCATACAAGTATTTGACAATTTTGAGGAAGCAGTTTGCCATGGCCACCTACCAACTACATATACATATATATATATATATATGAGCACCTTAAAACTTCATGGGCCATTCTGCATTTCAGGTACTTTAGTAATGGCTAAACTACAAGCCATATGTTTGAAGTCCTGATGATGAACTCTAATAGTTCTGGATTTTCAAACTAAACTAGTGGAAGAATCAGCTAATTGGCCAGATAAACCCTCTGCATAGATTAGATATCACCAACTATATTCAATCTTTTAGCTGTTTTAAGTATTTTCAACTAATTTGAAAACTATCTAATTTACTATTGGATAGCTTTTTTCCTATTTAGTTCATCAAGGGTGAGTAGTACTCCTGGTAGTGTTAGCCTGAATTTGATGTTCAATTTCTGCATAATAGAAGCCCCTGCACCTCCACCCAAAAGCACGTCCCAGACAGCTCTGGGAACAGAGCACCTGCAGTACCCAAAGGTCAGTCTCTAGTCTGTCACTAAGCCAAAGCCATCCCTGAGCAGTCAGACATTACAATGCAGACTTTAAATGGAAGTACCTCATTAGAGTGGTTTTTAAGCCTGACAAATTTCCCATCTGCATCAATCTCTTCAATAGATATATTTCCAGTAGCTGAAACATGCTGAATAGTCTTAAGTGCAGCACTACGCTCCCTCTTTTTGGTTTCTTTGATTTTCCTTTTCTTCCCATGCAGGTATCGTCGGCCCTGGCTTGCTGCTTGAGCTGCTGTGCTGTGTGAAGATGGACTGGGTGACAGCTTGAGCCTAGAAGGGAGTCAGATAACATTCACCTGAGTATCTGATGTACTTTGCTTCTTTTCATGCCGACCCTCCCACTACAACCAAGCCTAACAGCTTCCTATATCCAAGCTTTCCATGGAGTTTTAAATACAAAACTTTACTTTATTGGCAAGAGTAGCTAAGTTTGTTTAGTTTGGAAGACAGCCCCAGAGTCCAGAGCAGGCTTATATTGATAAGAGAAGATTCACAAGTACACTAAATATTCATTTAAAGTCTCAACAGACAAGCTTGTGAAAATCATTTTAAGCTTTTGACCCTTCCTAGCATGTATTGAGAGTTCATGTTCTCACCATGCAGGCAAGATACCATGTCTGCATAGACAGGAGTTGATCCAAGTTCCCAGCTTCATTCATGGAACTTGAATGCTCTTCATCTCTAAGATGTAGCACTCTGAGAAAGTTGAGGAATGTTTAATGGACCTTTGAATTTCATCAGCTGGATTTATGACATTACTTCATCTTTCTACACCATGTGGTAGATGTGGGACATAAGTGCCATTTACAGAAGATGATGCTTCAGTAACTGAAATACTATATTTACAATGTGCTTAATGTTTGTTTCTCATTCTGAAGGATAGTTATTGTAGAGGACTTGAATGAAGCAAGTTCTCATAATGAAGATCATAGCCTACCTCTGCTCCTCTCCTTCCAACATCTTTCTGTACGCATTTATTTCCAAGTCTAGAGCCAGTTTCACATCTAAGAGCTGCTCATACTCTTCCAGCTGTGCTTGTGCCTGCTTCTGAGCTTGTGCTATTTCTTCCTCCTTTTCAGCCATACGCCGTCGATGGAGATCACGATCGTAATCCAGCAAGTTCTGTAGCTCCTTTATTTTGCTCTCCAAAGCAACATTCTAAAATTAAGGGGAGAGGGAAAAAAAATAAAAACCAAACCGTAAGTGAAGATTAGAGAGAAGAGGCCAATATTTTGAATTGAGAATAAATTAAAATAATTATAAGGTTATACAAATAAAGACAGAACCTGGCTTTGATATTGATTAACTTGAGAAATCAGAGTATCCACTCTCTTCTGTGTTTCCACCAGCTCCACCCGAGTGGCATTGGCAAGCTCACAGTTCCTTGCTGCAGTTAGCTGGGCATTCTCCACCTGTGAATAAGTCACTGTTAGTCCTGAGTTGCACATAAACAAGGAAGGAACACCAAATAATTTTCACCTGTTACACTTGGAAATAGTTATCATTACTGAAGTGTGCAGATAGCAATAAAGTCCAGGTCAGAAAGTTCTGTATAGCTTTCCAGGGAGGTTTCCACAAGTTTGACATTTATATCAGAAAAAGTCAGCAATAATCAGGTAGGGAAGATTTCTGGATTAGAATATTTCAGTTAGTAATGTATGAGGACTTGGTATGGATATTAAGTAAATTGATTCTCCAGAAGACCAATGGAGAATATGTTTAGAAGCTGCTTGTCAAAGCATAGAACTGCAGGATATTGGGTGTACAAATCAAACTATTATCACTCTTCACCTAAAGGTCTATTATTATAGAGTTCCTGCATCTTTACAAGCAGCATTGAATTGCTCTACAAATACCTCAATCTTGAGATATCCCAAGAAAGGATAAAGTGCTCCTTCAAGAGCAGAATTTTCAGTGGAAACAAATACAGGCACCCAAAGGAATTCCCTGAGTTGGCATGCAAGTTGGTTTGTAGGAAAAATTAGATTTTATTCAAGACTGAAATTGCTTAATACAAACATAACACACCTTGGTCCTGAATCTGTCAGAAGTCTGAAATACGATCAACCTCTAATCCCTCCCTGTATTTATGCCTGAACCAGTCTTGTTTGGGATCAAATGCTGGCAGAAATCCTACTGTCAAATTTGACACTGCTTTGAAATTCCATAACAACTTAGGCCAAGAAGTTGTGCAGTGAATGCAGGGGCTCCACTATCAGCTGTTTTTGCCAGTGTGACCTTAATTATGTCAAGGTGCAGAGAACTTCAGTTTTGTTTTACTGTCATCGTTTCCAAACTCACCTTTGCACTGAATGTTCGCTCCATCTCCTCTTTGTAGCCTTGAATTTGTTCTTCATGCTGTTTCCTGAGCCCCTGCAGAACATCTGAGAGCTTGCTCTCAAATTCTCTTTGACGGACAGATTCTACTTCTGCTATCCTTCTCTCGTGGACTCTTTTTGTCTCCTTGAGCTCCTAGAAGAAATTTCTCAGAGGATAAACAAGCCAATACAGTTTGAAACTGGATTTAGTGTACCAGCTTCACAAGTCCATCCCTTTTGAAGCAGATTTATCATTGAGTACACAGTAATTCGTCTTTATGCATGTCTTATTAATCCATTAAGGCTGGCACATCCACCTTGCTGCCTCACTATTGTTTTCCCACCTCACTGCCAACATTGCTTAAACTAAAATACAGTAAATATTTAATTTGCAAGACTAGTGCTTTGAACTAGATAGATTCTGTTTGGTTTTTTAACTTAGAACACATGCATGTACAGTTCAGTTTCTTTAAGCACTGTTACTTCACCTATTCTTGTTTTATTCAAAAAGTAATAGCAGTTAGTTAGAAAAATTAGAGTTCTCTACCAAACTGTACACTTTGAGATTCCTAACAGTAAGAAGGAAGCTGGTTTGCGTTCATATATCAATTATTCATTTAGTTGTATGTACTGACTTCTCTCACAAGGGTTACCAGACACCTCTGAGAAGTTCTAAGAAAGTTGGGAACACAAGTTGTTTAAAAAGAAGATTTAATTACTTCTCTTACTTTAGGCTTCAAGTAAACATCTGGTATCACTTAGCAGTAACTAATATAGGCATTAACACCTACACAAAATAATAGATTGGGATTTCAGTTCTCTTTAGAAGAGCAGCCTAACAAATTTCTCATATCCCAGATACCTATTGGTACTATCCCAGTTAACATGAGGTTAACTACTTTCTTGAGCCTTCCTATTTAGGTGGATGTTATGAGCTGATGGGCTGCCACAGGTTGCTAGTTACCTTTTTAGAGAAAAAAGCAATGTTAAGATGGGCTTTAAGTGCATCCAAGGATCATGGACACCTAAAAAGATGCCTTGTTAATAAGCTAAAACATACATCTTCATGAAGGCGCTTCTGGAACGTCGTTTCTTCCTGCAATGTTTTGATATGGTTTTCTAGGTCCACCCTCCTCAACATTTCACTGTGGAGATGCTTTTTAGTATCCTCCAGTGACAGATTAAGCTAGAAAAGACAGACAGAGTTATCAAAATTAAGAGGTATTTTTTCAAATTAGGCAGCCAATTTGTTACAGGTCATTCAACTTAATTACCCCAGCAATCAAAACACATGGGTTGAATGAAGTGGGTTACTCTAAGTTCCTATGTCAGTGGGATCCAAATATCAGCAACAGATAGTATCCTATCTAGTTGTTATGTAGACTAGATTTCCCACAAGGCAAATATAGAACACCCCTTAATCCCACCAGCTAAATTTGACTCCTCAAAGTAGACTTCTGATTATTCAATTGTACTGTTCATATATATTCCTCCCCTTTTAAACTGTAATTATTCCAAACTTCTTCCTACTAATATAATTTTTTGACACTTAATCCTCTAAATACAGCCTATGTTGACAAATTAATATACACTTTCAGTATTACACACTTCTGATGTGTTAGAGAATGCTACAGGGACTATAGCAGAACATTTCATCTTGCTTTGACTTTGGAACAAGAAACATTACATCCCATGTTCATAGAATTAAAGGTACCTACAACCTTTAGGTGGAAGTTTTAAGGAAACCACCATCAGTAGCATTTGCTGTCAGCAAGGTTTTTGTCCACCTGTCACTGTCATAGTTACCAGGCCTTCTCTGCTTTTAAATATCAATAACCGAGGAAAATGAAGCAAAAACTGCAGGAGGAAAACCCAAGTTTAGATTCCAACAGCAAGCCTTACACTGAGTACTTGATCTTTTAATTCACGGAGCTCATTCTCCAAAGTTCGGTTCTCATTCAGGGCTGTTGCTAAATCAGCTTCCTTCGCATTCAGCTGGGCATCGAGGTCTCTCACACGAGCCTGGGCCACGTTTAAATCACTTTCCTTTTTGGAATTCCTACAGGAGAGAGTTTTACACTGTTAAGTGCAGCTAGCGTGGGAGAATTTGTCCTCAATGTGTTTCCCTTCAGAAGGCTCCGTGGTTAAAGACAGGAGAGGTTTGTCAGGCTCACGGTGAGAGCAGAAAACAAACCAGACAGGGCCCTCCGACAAGCATCATTTGTTATACCGGAGAGATTCCTGACCCATTTTCCAGCTCGTTCAGAGCGGAGCCCAAGCGGAAGCCAGCTATTTTCCACGGCATTCCCGAGGGGAGAGGGAAGGGACGGCACAGGCCCCCGGCTGCACGGGGAGGGCTGGGCACGCTCAGCGACCGGGGCCGGACAATCCTGCACGGACACCCCCGCAGCACAGGCGGCCCCAGCCCCTCAGGGAGCGCCTCAGGGCCCCGCACGGCCCCGGCCAGGCCGTGAGGGCAGCTCGGGTCCCTGACGGGGCGGAGCGCGCCTGCCGGCGGTGCCGCTCCTCCTCCCCGCAGCACACAGGCAGCTTTGTCCCCCGCAGGCCAGCGGCCGGCCCGGGAGCTGCCCCGCCTGAGGGGCTCTGCCTCCTGCGGCCCCTCAGCCACCGCCGCGGGGGACTCCCTCCCCTCCCTCACACCGCAGGGCAGGTACAGCGTGAGGGGAGCTTTGCTTTCAGAGCAAATATCGATATCAAATATCCATCTCATCTCCGGACCAATACCCGGGCAGTGGAACAGCACGCACCACCAGGATGGCCAACACTCTTCAGTGGCCATCGGCACCACAGTGGAGAAGTGAAAGAAGGACCCACAACGAGCTCCCGTCAGTGAAGAACACTGCCATAATTCCCCAGACTGCTCCAACTTTTAAAATCCTTCCAGTTGCCTGCCCACTATCCAGAGTCAGAGTCCCTGCTCAAAACTTGTATTTGAGATTACAAAGAGTAAAGGAAGTCCTCAATTTATTTTGGCAACACCAGTTCTGCCAAGTGGCAAAGTTGTGTCAACTCATAGAATGAGTTTTCCAGTGGATAACTGAGACCAGTTGGCAAGAGTCCAAAGTAATTCTGCAGGATTGATCAACTTCAGAAAGCTTGAACTGCAAGGAAAGATTGGAAAATACTAAGGGTTGTTTAGTCTAGAGTAGGGAATAGTGACAAGAGACAGAACAATTTTTAAATACATGAAGGACCGCTGCATAGAGTTAGGGAATCTATTTTCCATGTCTATTGCAGGAAAGACAGGAAGCTCCGGGCTTAAATTGCAGGGAGGAATACGTGGGTTAGATGTTAGGGAGAGGAAACTGGCAGTTCACCACTGAAGCACACTGCCTGGGGAGGGATATTCTGGAATCTCCATCATCTGGAATTTAAAATAAGGGTTACACAGAATCTGCTGGAAGAGATGCAGGTATGGCTGGTTCCAGCACAGGCCTGGGGAATGTGGCTACATCAGGTGCTTGCTCAAGGCCTTTTCTAGCCCTGCTCTTCAGAGGCATTTGTTGACTGTGTTGTGCTAGAAGTTATTTACTCTTTACTCAGACTCTAGGAAAAACATAGTTCTACTAACAGTGAAAAACAAGATAAGGTGCTGTAGTTTAAGGTTTCTTTCTTTTCTAGGTATTAATTACTCACCTTCCTTTTGGGGTCTCTGCTACCCCTATCACTTAATGTATTACATATGACATTAAGTATGTCAGTAACACTATGAAATACTGACTGTTTCATCCCACAATAATATAAATTTCATTCTGCAATCAAAGTGTGTGCAAAAAGAAATTTCATTAGTATCTGTTTTAAGAGTTCACTTTCCAATGTAAACATCTGACAGCCAGGCTCAGGTTTCCTGGTTTCTTTCCTGAAAAATACTATTTTCAAAGAACCCTGGAGTGAGACATTTAATCTTTAAGAGCAACAAATTAACAAATCTGACTTTGACAAGAGCATTTACTACCCTTTTAATCCAAGTCTGGGGTTCAGAACACCACTTTACACCCGTATGCAGCGAGCAGTGACAGTTACAGTACTCTGCCACATTCCATATACCAACCATTCCAGAGCTAAGTGTGGCCTACAGACTATCAATTACAAGCAAAAACTTTATGGCACTGCCAATCACTTGTAAATCAGGATGTCATATAGGCTTGAACTGGAGAATTTAAACAATTTTACCAAAAGATATCAGGTGTGTTTGAAACAGACTCCAGTTTGTCAAGGCCAGAGGATGTCAGCAGCAGGTAGAGAATTCATTCTTACAACCTCAGCTGCCACACTGTGTTTGTTCCACAGCAAAATGCACATCCACATTCTCTGGTACAGAAAGGAACTGGTCTTGTCTTTCTCTGCTGTGTTACTGCAGTTGCTTTGACCTTCCTGAGGTTCCGAATTCAACCAATATGCTTATCTACAATTCCTCCTCCCCAAACATCTTTGGCCTGCTTGCAGTCTCCATTGTTTAAGTAGTAAGAATAAAAAACCAAATGCAATCAGTTTATTGTTGTCAAATACCTTGAGTCTCTTAATCAGTGAATATTAATGGCCAATAGTTAATGCTGTTGGGAAATTATCTGGTGACATTTCATTCTATAAGAGTTAAACAGCCACCAGGTTATTTAAAGGGTGTGTATATATCTAAGGACACGATACCCTCAAAGTTTGTTCCAAGCCATCTGAGACCTTTGCAGTTAGGCAGCCCAGATACAACACACATTAATATTAGGACTTTAGTCTAGTCCCTTCAGAAACCAATATATAACATGTAAATTTAACCACTTCTAAGACCTGCTTACTGTAAAGGAAAAATCCCAACCCAGCAGTCTAGAGAATTGCATATCTGCCAAGTCTAAAACTTTACAAAGCCAGAGTTACATAAACACAAAGAGCAGCAGAAAAGTCTTATAACAGGCATTACCCCTCTCCTCACTGTCCACTCAAGTGGCTGGTTAGATTTATGAAACAGATCTGTGAGCCAAAACCTAGCATGACAGAGACAAGCCCAACAACTATGCAGCTGGAAACAGAAGCTTACAGTAAAAAGGTGTTTTAGTCCCAACTAGACCAACTACTTGAGTCTATGAGGAGGCAATACTTCCTCCAGTCATTAAAGAAGCTGGTGCCTAAATTTGCTCTGATACAGGTTTATAACAAGATATGAGGGGACTGCAGACATTCAAATTATTACAAGTCTATAACTGATATGGGAGTAGAATGGGGCATTACATAACTAACAGTGCTAGCAGGCTGTATATTTCTATAGAGGAAGCTTGTTGGGATGGGATGCTTGCTCACACACCTCTTCCTCCTTCTGGAGGATGGGACAGCTAACATTGCCTTTGTTCAGACTTGGTGAGCTTAGTCAAGATGATTATTCCAGCCTCAGGACACACAGCCTACAAGAAAGTCAAGCTAAAACAGCAGGCAGCTCATCTCAGACTTAAAAGCAACTAGAAAAACTTCTGAGCAGAACCAACCTGGACCAGGTAAGCCATACTGCTCCCAGAACTGTCTTCTATCTATATTCCCCTCTGGGCAAAGTCTGAGCTAAACAGCCCAAAAAAAAAGATGGGCTGACGCCATACAAACACTCCTTCCTTCCTCCATAACTTTCTATATAACTGCCACCATCTTCAGTGTTGGTAAACACAGGCGTGGTGCCAGCCCATGCATCTATGGATTCATAGGCCAGAAGGGCACCCAGCACTAAACGTTCTGCATGAGTCCCATGCCCATCCCAGGCAGGTGCTGATGTGACCCCATAGCATCAGAGGCACTCAGCAGTGAAACCCCAGCACACCTCCGGAACAGGCATCCAGACGTCTCCTAACCCCAGAGCGCACCACCTTCGGGGTCATCACGCTGCACGACCCGGACACGAAACATCACCGCGCACTCCTCCCGCAGCCCACCGGCTCCTGCCAGCAGCATCCCCTTCCCCTCATCCCGCAGGAGCCCCGAAGAGGCGGCTCCCCAGGGCGTCCCCGGGCCGGGAGGCCTGCTCAGGGCCGGAGCACCGACCTGACGTGCAGTTGCCGGTGCTCCTCGCCAATCTTGCCCAGCTCCACCTGCAGCGTGGCCCGCTCGATGGCGATGTCGTCCAGCGCCCGGCGGGCATCGGCCAGCTCGGTCTCATAGCGGAGCCGCAGGCAGCCCATCTCCCGGTCGCTGCCCGCCTGGTGCTCGCTCAGCAGCTGCTGCAGCACCGACTTGTCGGCCTCCAGCGCCCGCACCCGCTCGATGTAGGCGGCCAGGCGGTCATTGAGCTGCCGCAGCTCCTCCTTCTCCTGCAGCCGGCTGAGCCGCGCCGGGCTCAGCGGGGACTCGGCGGCGCGGCTGGCGGAGCGGCTCCCGCCGGCCGGCGTGGGGGGCAGCGCCGTGGCCATGGCAGCCTCCGCTCCGGGCCCCGCCGCCGCCGGGACCGCCCCGCGCAGGACACCGAGCGCCGCCGCCGCCCCGGTATAAATAGCCTCCAGCTGCCGCCGGCCCGCGCCCGGGGTGGGCAGCTTAAAGGGCTCGGGCTGCACCCTGCGGCCGCCCCGGCCCGGCCAAGCCCGGGAGAAAACACTTTTTTTTTTTTTTTTCCTCCCCCCGGCCCCCCTCCGCTTTATCTTTCACATGTGTCTTGCTGCATCTTATCAGTCCAATGGTGCTGCCCGGAGAAGGCGGGGAAGGAAAAACCCACCGCAGCCCTGCGTTCTCGCAGACCGGTGCAAGGGGTCGGGGCGAAACCAAAATCGCAGCTTTAGGAAGATGCATGACAGCTGCAGTGATGCTCACACTCCAGCATGCTGCTGCGTCAGTGCTCTGACTGTTGTGTCTGCGATTTTTATTTTTTTTGCAAATTGTTCAGCTGATGAAAATAACCGTTCTGCTCTTCGTGGGCGTTTTAGCTTTCCTGTCAGCCATCCCACTTATATGTTCTACTTAGAAGCTGATGCGTGAGCAAAAGGAAGAGAACCTGTGTGAAGACAAATGTATGAAGCAGTCTGTAAAGCCTTACACTAATTACATTTAGTAAAAATCGGTGTTTAGTGAGAAGGTTGCTTCAGCATTCCTTCAATAGTGATGTGAATAGTGATCATTATCAGTTTTCTCCACCAGCTACTTAATTTGCCCTTATTTACTTCCATTTTTGAGAGCAGATGCTGTAGGAAACTCATTAAGTATGAGCATAAAAATCTCTGAGCATTGCTATAACTGTAAATTACAGTGTTTGTTGTAGCAGTTACAAGAAATGTCAATTAAGATTTTAGCTTAAGCTGCTATTCACAACACGGAAAAATAGTCTTGGCATCCTCTTAGAGTTCTTTAAGTGTAAAGATAGATTTTTATGAAGGGTGTACGCATAAATTTAAGCTCCTCCTTATAGGTGGGCAGGCAGGCAAAAATAGGAGAACAGCATAGTTTGCCCCAAGAGTGTAGCTGGGGAGTTTAGAATTAAGTTACTTATACCTCTGGGTACAAAATGACAGCACAGATGAGGATACAGACTAAGGTGTGAATCCACAACGTGGATTTTTTTTCTGGCCATCTTTACACATTTTCATAACAACCCAAAACATAATTTCAAGATTCTAAAGCCATGTACAGCATGGGAGCTACATAGAGCCAGATTAAGCTCCTCTGGTTCTCGTCCGAGCAACACCACCAGGAAATTCTTTCCTGCAGAGCTGTTCCAGCGCTTTATTTTGATATAATCAGTACTTGTTTGTCCTTCATTGCCAATAGAAAGCTCAATTCAAGAAAAATAAAAAGCATGGTTTAAATCTGAACGTGTACCTCTAAGACCAAGATGTGTACATCTGAGGGTTTATTTCAGCTTTGAAACCTCAGTCCTCTACAAAGAGCACTGTGATCATGTGTCATTGCCGTGCTTGATCATTGCATGTTACTGGCCAGCTGTTCAAATACATTGTACGGTTTTGGAACACATGCAGGACAAAGCAAGAAATCTGCTATTCTAACAATATTTTCCTTCTCTGCCAAGGCTTTGTAATAACGCAAACAAAAACAGCTGAAAGAAATAGTTCAAAAATAGTCCGAACTAGTTTTATCTTTTGTATTCTTTACCTACTCTCCCTGTGCAAGAACAGAAGGAGGCAACTCAAAAAAAGCATAATGAAAATCTATGGCTGATTCTTTTCTTTGTGACATTTTTTCTGACTTCTTCTTTGATAGTCTATATTGCTTAGACCACAAATATTGCTGAGGAATTCCTGCAGAGATAAGTCTGTGCCATCCTTTCCTACTGTTTCAAGTTTAAAGATATATAGGAATGTTCCAGGATTAAGAGATTGGGGGGGAGGGGGGAGGAAATGCGGGAAAAGGTACACATGCCAGACTAAATCACAGTAAAAATATGATACAAATAGTCCTTATACAGTAAAATATAGATATGGGAGATTTAGATGGTATTAGTAAATGCCACAAAGTTGGAATAAAAAACATTGTGGTTTTTTTCAAGTATCTTAATAAGCCCTTAAACTTGAGTTGGTGGATTTAGGTGAAAAAAAGAAAACAACAATGAAGTAATACAATGAAAAAGTAGGGGAAAAAATCAAGTACACTTTTTGTTATCCTCTTCTATAGTTATCTTCCAACTAATTCCAGGTGTAAGCAATGTGTGTGTGATTGTCCCAAAATGTTGTCAGGGCTCCTGATGCTCTAACAGCCTCATGACCTTGACCAGCCTCAGCTGAGGCTTCTGCCCACGCTGTGCCCAGGGCTGCTGGAGCTCCATTTAAGCTCTGGCCTGCCCCTATACCCCACTCTTTTTGCTCCCTTGTGGTTTTGCTGAGCTGTGGGCTCTGCTGGCCCATGGACTGATTTTGTACCTGCCTGGTTATTGTGATTTTGCCACTCTTTGGATGATAGAGACATGTCTGCTACATACTTTGGTAAGGTGAAGTTTCTTGATTATGTTATCTTTTTTTAGAATTCATTTTTTTGTGACCCAATACAAAATGCTTGAATACATATCTGCTTTTCAAGGGTTAAATACAATTGTGGCTGTACATAGTAAGCAATCAGACTTGGCTATTGTGACAATATTGCACTGACAAATATAGGCATAAATGCAGAATCAGCATGAACAACGGAAAACCATGTAGTGTTTTGGTGTATTTATCTGGATAATTATTCTTTAAAAGTCACAAGGGTCTTTTCCTAAACACCCACTGGAAACAAGGTATCACTGAACAGTATACCACCTTAAGGAGCTGCTATGTATAGCAGTAGTACTGTTTCAAATGATATTACTCTGAGGTGTTGGACTATATCAATGAATATCAATATCAATCCTAAGCAGTCTGTTTACAGAGAGCTGCTAGTGACTCCCATGTGACCAGAGCTAACAAGGACAAATTGAGTTCTGTTGGCCTGATAATGGCTGCTACAGTACCAGAGTAGGTACTTTTCCCTGAGAAAATTAGAGTTCACCCACCAGAAAGGTTAAAGGGCAGTTTCTGTGTCATTGGTGCTTGCACACAGAGATGGGAAAGGCCTTTGAAGAACACATCACTGTGTAAGTGATCCTTCTCTGCAGGACTCCAGTCTATGTCTCTATTTGCCTGGTTAAATTGAGCAGTATAAGTCACTTGGCTTATAATGGTTTTTGTCTGCTGTGGAACAAGCAGCTGTCTATAAGATGGTAACAGGGGAAAAAATTAAATTTTTTGTGGCCTTACCAGATACAGAGGTAAACAATAGGTTTTGTTGGGTAGAAAATACACCAGAAAATAGCCTTTTATAGGTGACACTGGGCGAATTCCTTGCTTAGGCTGTCCTGGTTTCCAGCTGCCAGTGACCAAACTGCTCTCAGCTGCACACACAGAAGATGTTGCTATGTGTGGTGCACCTGGCTCGCTGTGTGAAGGTGCACAGTGGAATGTGTGTTCATCTTCTCTTTTCATAGCCTCACTCTGTGTGTTACTGGTATTCATCCCCATGCTGCATCATGCTTTTCTTCCAACGTTTAATTTTTTTATTCTTTCTCCCTGTTTGCTCCTTATGTTCTCTTCCATTTCCATGTTGGTGTGCATTGTGGTGGGTGCTTATGAAGTGACATGCACAAGTCTCTTGTGGCACACAGGCCACCTGCTTTGCTCTTGCTCTTCCCCAGTGAGCCATTACAGCAAGGGTAGGTCCTGATGACCTTTGTCTGTTGCTCATGACTTGCAATTTAATTGATTTCCTCAGAGCCCTTGTTTATTCACCAAATATTGCCTCTTCCACATAGCTCTCAGTAACATCTTGTTTTGCACAATCACAAAAGCGAGGGCCATCACAGAATGAGGAAAACAGGTCACGAGTGGTAGACAAGCTCAGGAGTTCAATATTCATATCCATAATCTCAGTGGGGATATGTTATTTTGCAAGAGTATCTGTTAACACATAGCTATGTGTAGATAAACTGAAATTTTGCCTCTGCAGTGAGTTTTTCATTTTGCTTTATCTGCATTCAAACTTTATCAATATAAATTTATATTTTCTAATTATGCCCAATACAATCACCTAAATCCTTTCTAAAATATATTTTTGCAAACCCTCAAAATGATAATGTAACTGTATTATAAGTTTACCTCAAAATGCTTATTCTAACATTTTAGTTAAGGCTGTGATCTGTGAGCTAGGAGAAAAAGTAAGTTTGTGCCATTTGAAGGTGTGTTTGTTTTGCTCTTACAGTATAGGATCATAAATATGGAAATGAACCACAAATTGTTTTGCTTAAGCACAAAAAGGAATTTGAAAGACAAGAAAGGACAAATATTTATTCAAATACTTGAAGTAGTAACCATTTGAATATGTTGTTTAGGCAATTCTAGAGTAATTTGAACACAAACTGAGAAGAAGACAGTAGTTTTCTTCTATGTTTAGATCTATACATAAGAAGTTTTTCCTTTCTGACAGCCTCAAAATTATTTATTTTTCTACTTACTGTTGTGATGGAGCTGTTTCCAAAGCCCAGGACAAGGAACTACATGGAAGGCAATGGGTTCCATAACACCAAGAAATTAAAGACAAGGTGCTGTGGCTGAACTTTGTACCTTTTTACTAGTAGAGGCTTTACTCTTGGTAGGGTATAACATACTTGTGAAGGGTGACAGTGTGTGACTGTTCTCTGCCCTGGAGGGCTTGTTATTTCAGAGCAAACAAGAACCCTGTGCACATACAATGCAGGGCCAAAAAACTGATTAGACTGTGTCAGGGTTCTCATTACTCTAGCTACAGGAAATTTAACATTTTGCTTTTATTATTCAATCAGGTGCAGCTCTGTTACTGATAACTTTGAGATGTGGAACCAAAATGCAGTTTTTGCATGGGGCCTCTGCAGGATATTTCCAATTTTGCTATATGTTATTCAGAATGCTGATTTATGAGCCAAATGTTGTTCTGCACT